TTAAAGATATTACCTCTAAGAACAATACTGCTTTTCATCTATTTTTCCTTTTGACTTTATTTGTGATAGGCTTTAAACCAAAAAAAAACCCCAAAAAACAAAACAAACAAAAAAATAGAAACCTCTGTGGAAAATTATATGATGGTGGAAGGAGATTTGATTTAGGTGGTAAACAAACAATGCAATATAGAGATGATATATTACAGAATTATACACTTCATACCTACATAATTGTATTAATCACTCTCACCCCAATGAACTTAATTTAAAAATAAAAATGCATAACAGAAAAAGAAAATAAAATTATATAGTTAGATATATCAACTTCTTTTACTTTATGATTTTTAAATTTTTGCCAAACTTAATGTGATAGGTTATTGCTATGTCTGATCAGTAACAACCCAAATAGAACAATAGGAAATTAAGAATCAGAAAATTGAAGAATATCTCTGGCATGACAAATAATTGACCAAATTAAACAGCCCCCCATAAATTCTAATTTCCCTCCTCTTTCTTCTGCTGTTTTCCTCTCTCTTCCCTTCATTTTCCCCTTATTCCTCCGTTCCTCCTCTCCTTCATTATGGAATTTTAAGAATCAGAGAAGTGAAATGACTCATTTTTCAAGGGCTCTACAACCTCTCCATTTTTACCGGCAGGACAGAGTTAAAAGGGAATAAAAATACTAACAAGAATACCATGGCTGCTTTAATTTTTATTGTATAATTAAAATGTTTTTGGCACTGCATAAAAATATATAAAAGGTATTCAAATTTAAAAGATCATTATCATGTTTGATATCGTACAAATGAAGTTGACCTAAAAACTAAGATCTAAGAAAACTTAACTAAATAGTGTCATGGTTCAAACAGACTGTATGTCCATATCTAGAACTCAGTTTGCACTAAGGCTTAGCATGCAGAGTTAATACCTATGCACATAGCACTAACATATGTCTTATAGTATACTTAAAAACTGAATCGAGAGTACTGAATGCAGGCTTTCTATTTTCTGTTGAGCTAGTCTCTTTTTCATTGTTAGGATACATTTAGCCTCTCTGTTACAAGGCCTTTTTCATAATGTAAATCCAGAAAGAGGTACATAACAAAACTTTTGACAAGCAAATAAAACAATTAATAAATTTTAAACTTCTTATTATTAGAGGTACATAAATTTTACCTTCTCTTTCTGTTTTCCAAGAAATATGAAAATAGATTTCAGATTTGATCTTTAGTTGCAAATAATTTTTGTCACTTTGTGAATTTTTATGTTTTAGAAACATATACAATTAATATTTTCTCTGAATTTAATTATTCAACACCTGCCATATTTATAATCAATTTCAAAGATATTTGCAATTTTCTATGGATAACAGAATTTATTGTAACAAATTATTCTACTTTAAAATAAGTAGACTTAAAAAATATATATACCACTGATAGCAACAAATATCTATAAAAAGTTTTATAATGAGTACTGATGAATATCAATCTAAAGGAAAACAAAAAAAAATTTATTGGAACAGAGTAGTAGTAAGGAAAATTATATATAACCAAATGTATAGCAACCAAATTAGAAATAACCAAATATTCAATACAAAGGAAAAGAGGAGCTAGTAAATGTATATCAATGAGGTAAAGTCCACGTTGTAAAATACAACATTTCTTCTACTATGTCAATATATTTAAAATGTTATGATTAAGTTGAATGAAGATATCAGAAAATCGATTTGCTTAAACAGTGTGATTGCAAGGTATAAAATATCACTGCAATTGAAGATAATCACAGGTTAGTAACATAAGTAGCATTTTATGTAGATTAGGCTCTAAATTTTTATAAAATATCTAAAGGAATTATTAAATATTTTAAGAAAATTTGTACATTAGAATTATAAAAAATTGCTTTAAATTCTCTTTAAATACTATGAAACCAAAAACTGATTTTATGCAATTTCATTGCACTTAGGACAAAAAACCAATTCTATATCTCAATAACCCATGTCATTAGCAACAGTAATTGGCATGATGCTGTGATCCAGCTCTTCATTCTCATTCAGGATTACATGCCTTCATGGTGATCTCTAGTTTTTCCAGTTCACGTGACGATTTCTCAACCTTCGCACGGCTGATTTAACATCTTCATTCCTCAGAGAGTAGATGATGGGGTTCAACATGGGCGTACAAACAGTGTAGAACACCGAAAGGAATTTATCCACAGACAGTCTGCTGAAAGGCCATATATAGAAATAGATGCAAGGCCCGAAAAAAAGAATCACCACTATGATGTGAGCTGTTAATGTAGAAAGTGCCTTGGATGACCCACTGGAGGACCGGCGCCAGACAGTGATCAAAATGATGACGTAGGAAATAATTAAAGCCAGGAAACAGCCCAATGATATCAGGCCACTGTTAGTTAGTGTCATAATTTCCATCTCATAAGTATCCATGCAAGCCAGCTCTATCACTAGGGGAAGGTCACAAAAGAAGCTGTCTACCTCATTTGGGCCACAGAATGGCAGATCCACTGTAAAAGCCAAGTGGCTCACCGAATGAAGAATACCCACAGCCCAGGAAATAAACACAAAGATTATACAGAGTCTCCGATTCATAATTGTGCTGTAGTGTAGGGGCTTGCAGATGGCTATAAATCTGTCATATGCCATAGCTACGAGCAACATCATCTCACTCCCAACAAAACTATGAAGAAGAAATATCTGGGCCATGCAACCCTCGAAGGAGATAGTCTTTTTCTCAACAAAGAAGTCCACAAGCATCTTGGGGGTTGCAAAGTTAGATTGGCAGATATCAATGAAAGAAAGGTTACTGAGCAGGAAGTACATAGGAGAATTCAAATGGGAGTCAGAGGAAATGATGACAATAATCATGAGGTTGCCCAGCACTGATGTCACATACACCATAGAGAAGATGGCAAAAAAGAAAAGCTGAAGATCCCGAGAATTAGAGAGTCCCAGGAGCACAAACTCAGACACCACTGATTCATTTATGTGAGCCATGTATCCGATCTACAGTTGCCTAAATTTAAAAAACATCAGGGAAATATTACACAATGATTATGACTATATCTGGGAAAGATACAAAAGAAACATAACCAGCTTTCAATTAAAAGTCAATTTAATTTAATGAAGTAGTATAGAAAATTGACTAATATTTAACATCCAACTGCTGTGAAAAGAGGGATAGTGTGAAAAAAAGGATTAGATATGGATCCTATCATAACTAGGAACATAAGATACACATGTTAAAAATAAAAATATAAAATTGGAAATGAGCAAATGTAAGTGGTACATTAATACCATAAATATTATCAAGATGAAAGAAATTATGCCGAAGTGATAAAGTAAGGTGTCATGGAGTAGGAATTATTTTAAGTTAAAACTTTTTAAAAGTATGGAATTTGCTAGCCAAAACTGAAGGAAAGGCTATTTCTGGTGGGGGAATAATGAGAATAAAGATACAAAGCTAAAAATGTGAAAGATATACTCAGGGAACTATAGTTGAGTGGCCTGTCTGGAGAAGAGGTCATGCTGAGGAGCAATGACAGTGAAGTTGGGAATGGTAGCTCAGGAGCAAATTGTGGATGCGATTAGGCTTGACTGCAAGGCTAAGTGGACTAGATTAATGTTCTTGAAATTAAGAATCATAAAGTGCTTGATAGTTTTAAGAACTTAATAGAAGCAATTTGTTTAGGAAGAAAGGGCAGTGGTGTCTCCTTGTAAACACTCCTAACATACCTGGATTTATAAAAATCTGCAACACCTTTCAGAAACAGTCCTTACATGATGCATTTTAAACACATGATAGCTTTTCAAAAGAGAAAAGTTAAGTAGTGTGTAAATTGCCTCTTGAATGTGTTTTGAAATTTTACTTAGCACATTGGACACCATATGGCCACTTGGTCCCAGAAAAAATCGCTATACAACCTCCAATGTTTCAGAAAACATTTTTGGCTTTAGCCCTGTATACCCAACAATGTGTGATAGTCATTTATTTGTCCTTATACTGATTAAAGATATGCACCCTATATTTTTCAATAGCTGTATGATTGACCTTGGAAGATAGAACTAAATTATCTCCAAAGCTATTTTTATCTCTAAACTTCTAAGTGCAGAGGCAGTGCCTGGTTGCTGGAGTTGCTCAGTTGGTTGAGCATCATCCTGTGCACCAAAAGGTTGCCAGTTTGTTTCCCAGTCAGATGATATACCTTGGTTTTGTGTTTGATCCTTTCTCTCTCTCTCTCTCTCTCTCTCTCTCGCTCTCTCTCTCTCTCGCTCTCTCTCTCTCTCGCTCTCTCTCTCTCTCGCTCTCTCTCTCTCTCGCTCTCTCTCTCTCTCGCTCTCTCTCTCTCTCGCTCTCTCTCTCCTCTCCCTTCCTCTCTCTAAGCATGTCCTCAGGTGAGGATTTAAAAAAAAGTCTTTAAAGTACAAAGGTTTTTATGTTACAAAAAATATGTTTTTTTTTAAAAGTCACTCAGAATTCCTTGGACTATACACAGAGCATCCAGAAGCTTCTTCATTAATAAATCATTAACTTTTTTAATTGTTAGTGTACCTCAATATAGAAGTGTTTTTAAATTGTAAAATACAGCATAAGAGAATTTCCCTATTCCTGGTGTAAGACCAACTTTGATACTTAGAAGGTGATGTTATATTAATATCCATCTATAAAGTATCTCAACAGAACTCCCAAACCATAAACAAGCATACTTTTATTTTTTATTATTTTGTCTTATAAGCCTAATAGTAAAAAGCAATAAAGGATATCCTTGTTGACCATGACACTACCTTGTGTAGCTGCTCCTTCTTTATTCCAGGCAAATTTTGATAGTCAACAAATATTTGCTTAACAGATGGCTAAGTATTCCCTGACTAGAAAGCATAAAAGGGGCAGAGAAGGAAGAGATAATCCTATAGCATACTTCCCTTTCTTTGTCAGATACTGATCCTATTCTTATCAGGGCTGCCCTAAACCAATGCAGTGCAAGAGTCACATAGACAGAGAAGTGGAGAACAGAGATTCACTTCTACCAAATGGAGTTTCCAATTTGACTGAGACAAGAATACTTTCTCTTTTGCTATCTTCTAGTTTCTGATTTTGCATCTAGAAGGCAATTTACCCATCATATCTAGTTCAAACAATATCGTCATATGCATATATAATACTTACATTTATATTACTTTTAGTAATTTCTCCCAGTCTTTCAGTTCTTCCTTATTTTCTCCAAATTTGGTCTCTTTCAGTTTGTTTCTAAGCTTCCCACTTTCTGCTATGAGTTTTCATACCAGAAATATTTGCAATATACTCTTGACTTGATGCATTTTAACTTGGTCCCTGCACTAAGCTGTGCAGAAACAAGCCCTTCAGGTTCTTTCCTGAGGTAGTGATGGCTCTGGTCCTGTTGTCCGTGACCATCAAATTACAATTTCCTAAGGGAAGGCAATATAAAGTCTTCCATCCTCATTCCAAGCAAATGATTTCATTGGAGAAGTGAGAAATCACCCTTTAGAGACCTGAGGTCACACTGCAGTGAGAGTGATTATATTTTTAAAAATTATTTTTCCAGAAATAGACAAGAAAAAAGTTGTGTGTGTGTGTGTGTGTGTGTGTGTGTGTTACCAATTTGTTGGTACATATGAGAACAATAGATTATTTGATTTTAATAGATTCCCAGTCAGTGAAATAATTTTTTGGCACCCACATTCCTATCAATAAAACAATTACACAATCTTACAAAATGATCAAAGCCTCAGGATGCTTACTTCCAATCATAAGGAACCCACTACTTCACAAATCAGATGTATCTAGTTAGAGTGCTCAACAAGTTCTGCCAACTGTGGTTTAACAGAATAAATTTATTCTCATTTTAACATAATTTTTCATCAAATTTTAAAGGTGCTCTCACTTTTTCTCCATGATAAATCTTCTATTTCTCCCTCAAAATATGTCAAAAGTCTTTTCAACTGTATTTTATACAATAAATTTTCTAGATTTCCAAAGGTTGTAATGTAGATGTAATTTTCAAATGGTCACCTTTAAAGAAGAAAACTGAAAATACAATTCTCTAACCACTTATGTATATCTCCTAGTAAATATTCTTATAACAATGACATATGCTTGAAAGCAATAGATACTGAAAAAATTATTTATAAATTTGAGAGTGAAAAACATTTTACTGATGGAATACATTCCATGTTTAAAATTATTAATTTTATATATGAATATGTGTGTAAGATTAAAAACATAATATCAAAGGAAAAATGGAAGATTGGTAAAATTATATTGTGCAAATTTTTATAAGCCTAAAAACATTTATTAAAGAAAAGTTTTAAAATATCCAGAGGAGTAGTATACATTCTGCACAGTGTAAGAAAAATACAAAGGACAGAGTCAAAAATTGTATAAAAGGGACTTAAACTGAATTAATGATATTGCATATTTTTAAAATTTTATTTTTATTGTTGAAAGTATTACAAATATTCCCTTTGTTTGTTTGTTTGTTTTTTCCCCATGTACCCCCTACACCCTGCATCTGCTCTCCCAGGCCTTCACCACTCTATTGTCTGTGTCCATGGGATATGCATATCCTATCTAATAAAGAGGAAATATGCTAATTGACCATCATGCCATCGCAAAGATGGCAGCTCCCACAGCCAAAAGATGGCGGTGCCCAGTCCCCTCAGCCCACCAGCCACCCAGGGCTGGCTTGAGGCACAGGCAAGCCTCCAATGGCGACTGCCTAGCTGGCACCTGAGGCGCAGGCAAGCTTTGGATGCCAGTTGCCCAGCTGCCCAGGGCCGCCCAACCCTCAGGTAACCAGGGCCGGCCGAGGCTTGCGCTGCCAGCAATGGCAACAGCAGAAGTGTGATGGGGGCGTCACCTTCCGCTGATCGGCCTCCCACCCCTGAGGGCTCCTGGACTGTGAGAGGGCGCAGGCTGGGCTGAGGGACCCCCTCTCCCGTGCATGATGCACTGGCCCTCTATTATGAGTATAAGTTTTTGGGTTAAACACTCCCCTCCCACCTTCCCTCTGAAATTCGTTATTCTGTTCCTTGCTTCCATGTCTCTGGATCTATTTTGTTCATCAGTTTATTTATTTTTCATTGCCAGTTTTTTTTTCTTTAATTATTTAATGTTTAAAGTATTATATATGTCTCCTTTTCCCCCATTGACCTCTCCTTGGCACTCCCACCCCCCAGCAAATGCCCTCACCCCCCTAATGTCTGTGTTCATTGGTTATGCTTATATGCATGCATACAAGTCCTTTGTTTGATCTCTCACCTCCCCCTGCTTTCCCTCTGAGGTCAGATGGTCTGTTTGATGCTTCTCTGTCTCTGGGACTATTTTTATTCATCAGTTTATGTTGTTCACTATATTCCGCTAATGAGTGAGATCATGTGATATTAATCTTTCTCTGACTGGCTTATTTGGCTTAGCATAATGCACTCCAGGTCCATCCATGCTGTTGCAAATGGCAAAAGTTTTTTTCTTTTTCATAGCAGTGTAGTATTCCATTGTGTAGATGTAACACCATTTTGATGGGTTTTTTTTGTTTCAAACTATAAGGTATTTATTTTATTTATTTATTTTTTTAGATTTGAATGTATTTTTTTATTTATTGTCTAAAGCTTTATATATCTCTTCTT